CAATTCATTAGCATCCCAACCCCTTGCCTTCCAGATGAGGAACCAGCGAGGTCATGAACTTCTCCAGCCTGATGTGGGGCAGAGTAATGGCAGTTAGGAATATGGCTGAGGGGAAGTGGTCTGGAGCCGAGGTCCTGGTGAAGGGTCAGAGCAGAGTTCGGGGGCAGATGTCTGCAGCTGAGTCTTGAATTCCTCATCTTCTGGCTACACCATCCCAGATAGGACGCCCGGTGGGAGCTTCAGCTTTTGACTTCCTTCGGACTTGTGTTTTCTCACTCATGAAATGAAAATCCTGTATAAATGGAAATATGAACAAATCAGCTGATTTGCACATATTAAACTTCATAAACTCTATAAAAGCACACAGCACAGGGCACTAAGGTTCTAGACACAGGCACTGGTGAGAAAGAAGGTTTCTGCAAACTAGGCGTGATGGCGCTCAGGAGGCAGAGGCAGAGGAGGTAGATTTCTGGGAGTTCAAAACCAGCCTGGTCTATATATTAAGTTCTAGGACAGTCAGAGCTCCATAGTGAGACTATGTCTCGAAAAGAAAAAAAAAAAAAAGCAAGTAAGTTTCTGCAGACACATATCTGAACTTTTCTCAAGTTCAAGACAATTTCTCCCAGGGAAACAGAACCGAGGCGGGCACAAGGCCACTTGGATTGGTACCAGGAGGTTATGCAATGAGCAGAACGATGATGGCTATGCGTAGTCACAGTAGTTAATACTCACTGGTGACAAGTCAAGGAACACTGTCGACTTCAATCCAGGCTTGATTATAGCCACACGGGTAGACATTAAGTTCTATGAAATGCCATAGCAATCCACCCCAGAAAAACAAGCAAACAAACCCGGTACCCGATCCAGACTGCACACATACACGCTTATGCTGTAGATACTGGTGTGATTCAATGAAGACAGCCCTTTCCCAGGACCACTGATGGGAGCCGAAGGTATCTGAGCTCGCGCGGCTGTGCGTCTCTCCGTTTTCCATGTTTCCATTTGTGTGTGCCCCTATGCCTGTTTCCAAGTGTGCGTGCACACCTGTATTTGTGGTATCATGCTTGTGGGGGCCTGAAATTTTTATTGGTGACCATCCTCAACCCCACTTCACCCTAGTCATTGAGGTAGGGTCTCTTAGTCAAAACCAGAGCTCACTGATACGGCTGATCTGGCTAGCTAGCTCATCCTGGGGATTGCCTGTCTCCGCTTTACTAAGGGATAATTAGAGGTGGGCGGGCACACGCTCGCATAGCATTAATGTGGGTCCAGGGATCCAAACTCCTGTTCCCCGATGCTTGCGCAGGAAGGGGCTCCAACTCTTTACTGATGACTTAAACTAATTATTAACACATTCTCTTGTTTGGTTTCATGTATGTTTCAGCCTAGTTCATTTAATATTTGTGGTATGTACATGATATACAAAGCAGATGCTGCTAGTGACTCTTCTTCCTTCCTCTACCCCATTCCTTCCTTCCTTTTCCCCTCCCTTCTTTCTTTGTACAACATGAGAGAACCATAAGACTCAGAGTGGTTAAGCCTCCTGCCCAGAGGGAGTCACTGTCCAGCCACTGGAGTGACTCTTAATCTACTTGCTACACACACACACACACACACACACACAGACACACACGAACCACAGAGGATCCTTTTACAGTGCAGGTTCAGGATTCGGGGGGTTAGGTGGAACCAGCAAGCTTTTAGCAGCTGCTGCTGAGTCCTTCAATTACCCCCACGATGTTTTCATCACACCCTGGCCCTGCATTTCCGAAGTCCCCAACCACTGCTCTGCTGAGCCTTCACTCAGTTGCCCCACTAGACTACGAAGTCCACGAGAGCAAGCATGTGTCTCCTCCGTTCTACCTGACTACCCAGCACCGCACCCCGCAGAAAGAACTGGAGTATATTTGAAGAGTGGAGGAAAGTGACCCATGCACAGTGACAAAGCTGTCCCTTGGCAGGTTATGATTCCGCTTACCTGCTGATAAAGAGTGCCTCTCATACATCTCTTCTTCTCTGAAGGCACACAGTGACACTGACTTGTAATTGTGAGGTCCAGGAATGGCGGCTAAAGGAACCCATGACTTGAGAGGTCGTTCTGAGTGTAGGGAGAAGGTAGAGTACCCAAGGTGACTGAGACTTGCAGGAGGACACATCACCTTTCCCACCAGACCACAGTAATGAGTGATGACCACAGCCAGGCCCTGTGCTAAAAAAGCACTCCTAGCCTATCATCTCTCTGCCACTCATTTTCCCTGCTAACCTGGGACACAGACACATCCTTATCCCTTAGGAAAGGAAGCTAAGACATGGGGTAATCAAACCCAAAGAGGTCAAGTCAGGACTCGCACCTGCGCATCCAGCTCTAGACACCATGCTTCTGACGAAGAGCCTAGAGCAGAAAGATGGTCCCAGGGATAGGAAACAAGGGCTTGTACACAGGGCAACTTTACTTAGCTGTCCGTGACCTGATACGGGCTCCAAGACAGCCCAGTGAGGTGGGTTGAGGAAAAACACATGACATCTATAAGAGAGGATCCGAAACCCTCATATGCAGGAGACCCTTTATGTGCAGAAGAAGCCCTCATGTGCAGAAGACTCTTTATGTGCAGAAGCAGGCCTTGTACAGGAGACCCCTTATGTGCAGAGGCAGCTCTGGTGCTCAGGAGAGGACTGTGTCGTGCTGGATACAGGAGGAAGTCGTATATGAAGCAGTTTGAAAATACAGCGTCAAGAAAGAGTGGGACCTTGTTAGCTTTCATTTCATGCTCAGTTTGACTCTATCCGTTCCCTGGTTAAATATCCAACATCTCAGAAAGGATAGGTAAGAGACCGCCGGGGAAGATGTCTCAAAGGTCCAATTCCATTCACAGTTCATTAGGCCTCTTATGAAACCTCACATTAAAGACCGGACCAAATCTGAGAAGACAGCTGTCCCATGGAAGAGATCACAGTTTTGTTAAGCATGTGCGTCTAAGAACCAAACAAAACAAAATGCAAACCAGGGTCTAAAGGACAGACCTTTGAGTTTCAAGAGCCTTTAGAAAACAATTCGAAGGTTATACTTTAACACCAGCTGTTAGAAAATGCAGGAATTACGGAAGCGCGCGAGCGTACTGTCAGCTGGGATGTGGGGAAAGAGTAAATTTAAACTTCCTTAAACTTGATGAAAGATTTTCAAATGGGCAATGAGACAATAAAGAAGGACAACGATACACAAAATACAGCAACAGGCCAGAGTGGGGCATTATGGTTAAAAAGAAAAAGCAAGCCCGGATTTGTTTTTAACAAGTTTATCTCGTTTAAGTCCTTTTATTTACCTTTGGAGAGAATGTGATATTGTGGATCAAGGCCTTGCTTTGCCACATCCTCACTTTGGCATTGAGCTGGCACACGGCCTCTGAGATTCAGTTTCTTCATTGGCTGAACATAGCCAGGCCACACCTGTTCGCTCGGGCGATTGTAAGCCTCTGGTAAATACCACTCAGCGGCTGTTTAACATGAGCTTCAGTCTGTCTACCTAGTTTTTCTTCTTTTTCTGTGTGTGGGCTCTCTTTTCCTCAGACTCTCTAGCAAGCATTGTTTTGAGTTTGTTTGTTTTGACGAGACAAGGCTTCTCTGTGTAGCCTTGGCTATTCTGGAACTCGCTCTGTAGACCAGGCTGGCCATGAACTCACTGAGATCTGCCCGCCTCTGCCTCCCAAGTGCTGGAATTAGAGGCAGGCGCCACCGCCACCAGGCTTCTCTCAAGAATTTCTATTCCTAGTTCTTATGTATGTGCTGGTGGAAATATTTATTTAATTGTACCGTGTTAAGAAAAAAATCTATTATTATTAGTTCATAAGTATGTATGAGAGTGTTTATGGTTTTTAATGGGTCTGGTCTGTTGTTACATTGCCTGCTTTATATAGGTAATGCTTCTGGGATGTTAAGCGTAAGCTTGCTGTGTTAGAGACAATGACAAGCTGTCCCTTCTGTGTCGCTGTGATAAAATACCATGACCAAGGCAACTTATAGAAAGGAGAGTTTACTTGGCTTATGGTTCGAAGGCTGATGCCACCATGAGTGGGGAGGCACGGCAGCAGGCAGGCACGGTAGCAGGAGGAAGAATCAGAGAGATCCCGTCTTTAACTCCAAGCATGAAGCAGAGGGTGAATGAGAAATTGGAAAGGGGGACTATAAATATTCAAAACACACCCCTTGGGAACAACTGAAAAGAGTGCCACCACCTGGGGACAGTTCTCATTCAGACCATTGCATAGGGCCCAGAAGATGACTCACTGGGATGATTCCAAGTACTTGATGTGCAAGCATGAGAACCTAAGTTTAGATACCTGGACCCTCAGGGTGGACATGTCTGTGAGCGCAGCCCCGGAAGACAAGAAGAGCCCGGACAGCTCCCTGAGTAGTCTAGCCCAAACAGTGAGCATCCAGGATCAACCAAAGACACTGTGTCAAGAACACTAGATGGGGCACTCTAGAGGAGCACACCCAAAGCCAGCCTCTGGCTCGAGGCACAGGGATGGATGCATTCATGTCCCCCACACATGCGCGACCCCCTAAACAGAATGGTGAGATCCTTAGAAAGTCAACTCCACTCATGATTCTACCTACCGGTTTTACTCAGTATCCTACATACCAGTGATGTTCAAAGAACAAAAATCAATGCTTTATTCCTTTTTGGAGGGGAGAAGAAGCTGGAGACAGGGTCTCTCTATGTAGCCCTGGCTGTGGAACTCACTCTGTAGACCAGGCTGGCCTCAAACTTACAGAGGTTCACCTGCCTCTGCCTCCTGAGTGCTGGGACTAAAGGTATACATCACCATGCCTGTATAATGTTTTATTCTTAACAGTGTGAAAGTTTCACACAAAAAACTCCTGCTTCAATTCATGTGAATCTTATTAGTAGACCACCAAGAGCTAAGAAACTCATATGTTGTGATCATCTGAATGTCTCGTTTCTAGAATAAATTGGTATGTCACCAACTTAAGGCCACTCATCATATTAAAATGTAGGTCTTTATTCACTGGGATTTAGTTGGAAAAATACAGAGTAAACGACGTCAGGCTTTTAGGAAGTTATGACGACATACATAATAGACATTAAGTCAACAAACAAAACAAAGAGAATTTTCAGAAGCCGTCCCAGAATTTCATCTTCCAGGCTTTGGGGTGAAGTTGTAGACACTAATATCCAGTTTTTACCACTCATATTCAGATACTCTTGCTCCCTAGAAAATAAAAATAGGACAATAAGCACCCTGCAGTAAGCACATGTATTTTCCTTATTTCTTTGGTGAAGACAAGCCTTCCAATGAATGGCTACCTATCTGTAGCCAACCAATAAACTAAAATATTTTTTCCCACTCATTTTTGGTGACTTTCTGTCATCGTCATTGGTTTGTTGTTTGTTATTTTGCTTTTGAAGATTTAGTTTTAAATTTAGGCAAATGTTGAGGTATATGCCCATGGGCACAGGGCCCTCAGAGACCAGAAGGGGATTTGGATCCTCCGTAGCTGGGTTTATAGACAGTTGGGAACCATCTGTAAGGCTGGGGACTGAACTGGGGTCCTCTGGAAAAGCAGTATGTGCTCTTAACCACCAATCGTCTCTCTAGCCCCTGGTCACGGGTTGCTTTTTCTGCATACCAAAAGCGCCTTTTGCTCTACAAGGAATGGGTCAAGGGGCTTCCTGAATGATCATTCCCTTTTTATATTGTCTGACTTGCCACCGGGGATTCCCATGAAAGAAGCAGAGGAAGACATGGGAGATACAAGTCATAATGGCATCCTTTAAAAACTGAATGGCACAGGGTCTTTCCAATTTCTGGAACTTTCCTCCGGGCCTCTCTTTTGTGTGTTTTGGCCACTGATCAAACATCCTGTCCTCCACATCTCTGAGTTATAGAAACCTTTGTCTGTTTCATTTTTGTTTTGAATAGCTGGAATCTTAAACAGAGTTTCACCATGACTGGTTTCCATGCTGTAGCAACTTTTTAACGGTACATCTAGTGCGGGCCTAACACCATTCCTAACTTCCTTTCCAGAAAACGAGCAGGCAAGTGAACCCCTTTCCAAACCTTACACCGAGACTCTGTACACCCCCTCAAAGACCATAAAGACCTGAACAGAGTGGCAAGATTTGCCTGGTAGGCCATTTCAATGGACGGTTTTCTTCACGCAAAGCTAAAAAAGGCAAGGTGAGGGCTAAAAGAGACAGATGGATGCCGAGCTCAGATCTCCTCCCACTTTGAGGAATCTTCCTTCATTCCTGTACCAATTGGCTCCATTCTGCAATCTCCCAGAAGGGAACATCTTACCAGAGTTACCCAGCAGTCACCCGCAGAGTAAGCACCTAGTCTTTTCTGCACTCACTGATTTCTTTCGCCTGTGTTTCAGCCAAAGAGGGGGCGGGGCAAGAGCCACATACAGGTTCAGGAGTACCCTGCCCTTCCTCCCATAGCTTGAGCCTCCAGCCTGGGTGTCCTCAGTCAGAGCTGTCTTGGGGGATCTTTCCATTCTTCCCCCAAATCAGGAGAGAACGAGAATAGATAGGTGCTGGAGAAACAAAGGGATGGCAGTGAGGCCATTTCTCACCTGAGATCCTCAGGTGGCGGCAGGCAGCACGGCTCGACTGGTTTCCAACTCTCCTCTCCGGCTTTCGCGGGACCAAAGTGCTGTGGGCACAGGTGTTCACCTAGCAACCTCGGTCCCTGTGTCAAAGCACATGGAAGGCTTAATTGGACTCCACTGTGGCTCAGCAAACAGAGGGGCAGCAACTTGCACGGGAAACTGCTGCAGGACTTGAAAGGGAGAATCATTGAAGATGGGAGACAAGGACATTTTAATTTTATTTTAAGATAGAATTGGGTGGCTTAGAAACTAAAAACTGAAAAAGAAATAGCAAGTCAAACTGAAGGATTTCCCCTGTAGGGGAAATATTCACCACACTTTCTAAAGAAACAATTACCTTGAAGTCATAGTTGAACAAATGCTTCATTATCCACACGGCAAAGCTTAAACACATCTCCACGTAAGAGACCATAGCTCACAAGACGGCAGGGCTGATTTTTAAATGTTCAATTTTAAATATTTTACAAAGTAAGAAATAGGGCAGTGGATTTATAACAACAAAGGGCTGTAAAATGTGGTCACTATGTCCTTCAACCACGTAATTATCCTTCCCGTATTTGGTGTCTTGAACATAAAGACATTGTGCTCAACAGTGCCCATTGCGGGTTTTCTTCTGCCCCAGTTACCAGACCCCAGCTCTCTGATAGGCTATTTCTCTGTACAGATTCAGTGACTGCTTTTCAAAGGTTATTGGGACCAATGAAGAGTCAATTTATTTTTCTTCTGAGTTTGAATTTTTTTTTATATCCATGATCTATGTTGGATACAGGCTCTGAGTCTAAACCCATGTTTCAAGGTTTAGCACCTATAAACAGTATTCTGAGCATACCCACCCTTTTATCGCAACCCAGCCTGTCAGAATCGGACTTGGAGTCTTCCAGTTGTGGGGTCTGACAGGCAGGAAGTTTGAGAGCTTGGGATGCAGGGGGTGGGGGTGGGGTCTCCATCTCTATTCCACATCAGGCAAATGGACCAAGGTCATGGGAAACAAATCAGATAGTTAACACTTTTACCAAGTAAATACATACAGGTAAATTTGAAATTATTTTAATTACTTAAGATAAATTAGAAAATAGGAAGGGCCACTAAGCCATTATTCAGCCATGGATAGAATGTAATATATCCATTAAAATGATGGTTAATGCACATATGAAATCATAGAAACATCACTTAAAAGATGATGCTTAAATATGTTAGAGTGGCCACAATACCCCATAGACTCCTATGCATCGTACTTTTTGAAAGAACCACCTGGCTTCCGTCAGAAAAGCATGTATCCAAATGATCTTTATAGTATCTTTAACTGGAGACAATCCAAAAATTCCTAGGTGCCATGGTCCAGGCACGGCTTCTAGGGCCTGCGACCTGCGTGGGCAGTAAGGGCATGAAGAAAAGACAAATCGGGACACAAACAGACAAGCTGGGATCTTGATCTGGAGAAGGTGGTCTGGGCTCTTGACTGGAGAAGACACAGCATTCCAGAATCTCAGGGTATTTATACAGAGCTGAGAAGGGAGGTGAGGTCATTACAGATGGATAGACAAGGAAGAAGGATTACTGCACAGAGATAGACGAGGAGGCAGGTTTATGGTGAACAGCTGGATCAAGGCACAGGTTTAACAAATCGCAATAGTGGTAGACTCTGCAGGGGAGCAGTCTTCATGCCATAAATGTCCAGGGAGAGAAAGCGACAGCGGACAGTCTCCGCGCACACACCACCATCCCTTTGCCCTCTGAGCCTCACTCCAGGGGAGAAGGCTTTGCTTTTTTCTCTGCAGCTCCCGGGTCCTTGAAAACGGCCATGCCCATGTTGATAGCACACATTCATTCGGGACGTCACTCACTCGGGAATTTCTGTCCCTACAACCAGGGAGGCAGAGATAAATGGTGGCAGAGACATCAAGCAGAATGTCGTACCGCAATGACAACTGAACCACGGCGATAGACAAAGTTAGGATGAGCCTCACAAAGCAAGGGACGAGACGAAAGCAAAGACACAGTGTTGGCACTTTTACATAAAGCAGAGAGTGTGGGTCCCATGTCCGACTGAGGAGTGTGTGTGTGTGTGTGTGTGTGTGTGTGTGTGTGTGTGTGTATGTAATAGTGGTTTAAAGGGTAAAAGGTTTAAAGAAGAAAGTGGTTACTGAGCTAACGTTCTCCTTATTATAACACTATACTTGACAAGGAAGCAACTTAAGGGAGTGGGGTTTATTAGATCTCATGGTTTGAGGGGCTACAGTCCATCATGATGAGGCAGGAGCATGAGCCACTAGCTGGTCACTCTGGAACTGCGGTCAAGAAGCAAAGAAAGATGTACACTGGCCCTCAGCTCATTTTCCTCCTTTGAACTCAGTCTGCGGGATGTGGCGATCCCCATTCTGGGAGGGTCTTCTCTCTTCACATAGACCTCTTTGAAAGCACCTTTAAAAACCTGCCCAGAGGTGTGTCTCCAGGGTAGTTCCAAACATACTAATGTTAACCATCACGATCACCCATCACAGGGTGGAGGTCGCTAAGAGGAACAGGCAAGAGCTTCCAGCCGGGTTTAACTTCTTGTCAATACACTCACAATCACTTTTAAACTATTTGTTATCCTGTGCATAGAGCATGGTGTGGGAAGATTGAAGCACAGATTCTAATTGGTCTTAATAAATAGAACCCAGGGTCAAATATTAGGGGGTGAAAGCTGTAAGGATCAGAGAAGCAGTACAGCCAGCCATTAGAGAGACCTTTAACCTCTACCAGTGTTCAGACCGAAGGGGCGATCCTGTCCTTAGACTGTCTCCTCAGACTGCATCTTCAGACTGCACTGAGCTCCTGTCTCCTCCCACCTTATATTCCTTTCTTGGCCCAGTCATATCCTGTCTCCATCTCTCCAGGACTGAAATTAAAGACATGGAATCCCAAGTGCTGGCATCACCTTTGTTGGAGCTCTGTTTCTCTTTTAGACAGAGTAATCTCGCGTAGCCCAGGGTGACCTTGAACTCACAGAGCTCCCTCTGCCTGTCTCCCTCTCCCGCGCCCTGGGATTAAAGGTGTGAGGCCACCACTCGCTGGCCTCTAGCTCTGCACTCTGATCTTCAGGCATGCTTTATTTGTTAAAGCAGAAACAAAAGATCACTCCGGAAGAGCATAAGTTTGAGGCTAGTTTAGGCTACATAGGAGGCTCCAGGCCTGTCTGAGCTATATAGCTAGACCTAGTCTCAAAAAACAAAAAGAAAACAAAACAAAATCAACCCCTCCCTCCCATGCAAAAGAAATAAGGAGACCTTGTACATGTGAGTTTTGTGTGCCCTTCTGTATTTACAGTGGACTTCATAATTAAAGCATTGAGTGGGGAAAGACAAGGGGAAAATATATACACAGGCAATGGTCAGCATATCTACGCTTAGGTGGAAGCGCCATGGGTGATTCCCATCTCCCAAGCTGTTTCCTTTTCTCAGGTCCATTGAGTCAGCAGGCTATTGTTCGTACAATCTTAGGTAACCAGAAAAAGTTATTTTCCTGATAGCATTCTTCATTCCTCCTGTTCTGCTAAAAAGTAAAAAAAAAGTCCACATTGATTGGTTTTGCTAAACTATCACTACAAAAATATGAACATTAGATTTGCCAGTGAAATGCTTGCTCCCATGAAAACATATCAGCAATAGACTCACCAAACAAACATGTTCCCATTTCATTCAAAACACCCATGACAAACAGGAACTTGGCCGTGTCCTGTTTGTCTCTTCCCCTTGATTCTAGATCTGAATCCCTAGTAGATACAAGTTTGTTTGTCCCAGTACCAACAGCGTCAGCATGAGAACACAAGGCTTTTACCTTGGATTAAAACCTTGACTGTCACAATCCTTTGACAGCAATTTTTTTCTACTTTGGGATCTAAAGAGTATACCTGGGGATAAGCTGTTTAGTAGCATCAATTTTCAGGGGAAAAAAAAATCTCCTACTTGTTTTTCTAGGAGACTTTTTAACTTGCTGACTTGTTTAAAATTTATGTGTAATTTTGCTGCATGCCTTATCGGCTTCTCCAGATCTTGTTCTTATCTCAAATGTACTTTAAAATCCTAAGACAGGACCTTCGATTTCTGTTGTGACACTCAAGGTTATTTGGGGTCAAGTTTATTTTACACTGAAGCACAAAATAACCTGCCCCCAACATAAACCCTTCTGCTTGTCTTTTCCCCATTTTCAGAGGCCCAGGGGAGTTTGTGGAGCATTTTATATACTATTTATTATATTAAAAATAAGCGACAAGAGCCGGAGAGATGGTTCAGTGGGTAAGAACACTGACTGCTCTTCCAGAGGACCTGGGTTCGATTCCCAGCACCCACATAGCAGCTCACAACGGCCTGTAACTCCAAGATCTAACACCCTCACACCGACATATGTGCAGGCCAAACACCAATGCACATAAAATAAGAATGCATAGCTTTAAAAATATGTAAGAGATAATAGATGATGTAGTCTTCTAAACTTTGAAGTTGTCCATTGGCTCCATCATTGGTGCAAATTCATTGCAGGTTCCATTTTGTATGGGGCAGCTCGGCAAGTGGCGTCCTCCAAAGACAGAATGAGAAGGATGGAAATGGATGACGACGGCGCTCGGTTCCCAAAGATCGGCTTCTCCTTCCTGCTGCTCCCAGCTTGTAAGCCCTTGCCTCAACACCACAAATACTCTGTTTTCATAGGGAAATAATACTGACTCCTGGGACCACAAGAAAACGATATTTTCTAACTGTTTAGATCCCCTAGCAAAATAAGCAAGCCAACAAAAAAGTATGATCTGACAGCGCTTCCAGTTCACACTTCTCTTTCAGTCATCCCTTTCCCCATCCTCAGGTGTGGGTTTCTTTTTCTTTTTCTTTTTCTTTTCTTTTGGTCAAGGCAAAGAACAGCACATGCTTTGTGAGTCTCTTTTACTACCAAAAGAAAAACACTTTTCCTTGGATACAGTGAAGAGTCTTTACTTTTTGGTATTTTTTGAGACGGGGCTTCTCTGGAGCCTGTCCTGGAACTAGCTCTTGTCTCTTGTAGTCCAGGCTGGCCTCGAACTCACAGAGATCCACCTGTCTCTGCCTCCCAAGTGCTGGGATTAAAGGCATGCGCCACCACCACCCGGCCTTCAGTGAAGAGTCTCAAACATGTGAGCCACGCTTCAAAAATATTTCCTTTTCGCGAGAGCTTTCTAACCCTGTGTCTCCATCTCCATCCAGCGGCTAATATTCACCATAGTTCCCTTGAGACGGCCGCTGAAGAGTGAGACCGCGAAAAATGTCACTGCAGTAAACTCCATTCATCGAGGGTCTGCAGTGAGTCAGGCCCTTCCATGTGCTCTGGGGAGCTGTGGGACACCCGGTGGCCCAGGGCTGCTAGCCTCCTGGGGTGGATCCAGACACATCCAGGACGCCAGCCTCCAGAGAGTGCTCTTTCAACTCCACTGACCGGGTAACGCTTTCGGTCGAGAAGTTGCTTCAGAAAGGGTCAGAATTGCAGGGGATGCTGGTCATGCTAGCTAGCTGACATTACTTACTAGCCACATTTCTTTGCTGGTGCAGGTTCCTTTCCATAAATGTGAATGGCCTATGGGACAATCGGGTGCACTTGGGGCCTGACAACCCTGAGTTTTCCAGGCTGTCTTTATCACGGTGAAGAGGTTTGTTTTGCTGTTGTTGTTGTTTTGTTTTGTTTTGTTTTGCTCACATTTGGGCAATCTGCCCTCAGCCAGTGGGACATTCCCAGACCACAGGTCACGCCCACCGCCTCACAATGAGGTCAGCTGGAAATAAGTTGTTTTGTTTGACTTGGCTTTACCTTGTAGTTCAGACCAGACTTGGACTCCAAATGTAGCCCAGGCTGGCCTCAAACTGACACTCTTCCTGGACTTCCCAAGTGCTAAGACAGCATGAGTATGCTACCAGGTATTGCTTGTCATCTCGTTTGTAACCATTGTCCCTTACACCTAAAGGCTTTCCCTCCTTGGCCTGCTCCTGAACATTCATTAGACACAAGAGGATGACTACTATAGGCCATGATGGCTAAGAGAAAGACTGGGATTCAGGCTGATGAGATTTGAGCTTCTGGTCTACCTTTTGCCGTGGGACCTCAGCCAGTTACACTGACTCCTGGCATCAGCAAGCACATCTTCCTTTTAGGACGATGAGAGAACTCAGTGATTTTTTTGTGTCTAGAAATAAATATATAAGGCAAATAACAGTAATTATTAGTCATAGCCTAGCACATTGCCCTTCTCCAAAACACTCACAGGTTCCCTCAGGACCTTCACATGAACTGTTCAGGTCCTTGTCCACCCTGAGAGTCTGCATTGCTGTAGGAGAAGGGCCTGCTTGTTTGTCCGTCCTGAACTCAGGCAGAACCCATCCTGCATTTATCAGAAACAGTACCAAGCCATGTCTGTCACCTACATGGCCTCATAGCAATAGGTTCAGGTTCCTAGAAGGTGGGGTCACTGTGCTGATCCTGGGTAATGGTCCAGACAGTCTGTGACACTCTCTGATTTTCGACAAGCGCTGACGTCATAAATGTGTTCGAAACAGACACCTTCTTGGAAGACTTAATGGCCTTGTTTCTCGGAAAACTGTTTAAACAAGAAAAACCCCAAGGTTGAATGTGTTCAACTTGTCTCCATTTGGAAAGGGCTTTGCACTCCAGTGAGGGCTGTGTTCACCAAGATTGTCTTTTTGAACTTGAGCAATCCTATGAAAAATCTGTTTAGATGTTTTTGCTCTTTTTTTTTTTTTATGTTTGCTTATAACTGGGGAACTGAGTCAAGCCGCTGGCAGGCCGCAAACATTTGACACAGGATGCCATGACCTGCAGTCATTTAAATGACAGCATAAAGCTCTCCAGCCCCCAAGGGCCCCAAACTCCAGTGATGTGGGAATTTACTGGGAATGCGTGCACGTTCAATAGTGAACAGAATTTGTAAGCTCTATAAAATTTCTGAACTGTCAGCTCAAGTTGTATTTTCTGGGCTGACTAAGGCCCCATCCAAGGATGCCCGAAGCTGAATCGCATCAGAGAGGCCCTTAATACAGAGCGCGAAGACGGCCTTCATCAGGGTAAACCTTGGATAGGAGAAAACATGTCTGAAAGTAAGAGAAGAACCTACGGCATTACAGTGATTGCAGCCCTGACTGCCGCAGCCTGCTTACTGATTACAACTTAATTTCAAGGTGATTTTCTTCTTTCTAGCTAAGAAAAAAAAACAATTAGTCGTGAAAGTATTAAAGAGACGCTGGCACCAGAATGCGCTCTCCGTTTTCATCATCCTCTCATTTTGCTACATGAGCTCTTGAGAGGGACAGACTTGGCCGGAGCCGCTGGTCATTGTTTCCAGAGCTGGTGCCACAACTGCCTAGCAACCTTCTGACATTTCAAGTCGTTGGTCTGCACTTCACCGGAGTTTATTATTTGTAAAGAATCTGCCTTTGTCATCCCCCTGCCCCTCCCCCGACCCCTCATTTTTGATTCAGGCCAACATAGAACCAGAAAGTTCCCTGTAATGTAAAACACGAGGGAACACAGGAACTATCTGGTGGGTCAGGGTCACACAACAAATTTGACAAAGCAAAGTTGACCTGAGAACAAAGGCGTGTTTGGCCACGTTTGGGCAGTGAACAAGGAGAAGGGAAGAGGAGGATCGGGAGCTGGATGGAACTGGTTTAGATTCTGGCTGGCTCTCTAGGCCTTTGGAAGAGGGATGTTACTTTATCTGGAAGAACAGAGGGAATAGTAACGCCTGCCTGGTTTCCTTCATGGCCAGCATTCATTGACCCTCCACACTTTGATGTCAGGCTCATGAGACACCAGCGGTTAGAAATT